CAGTACAGGCATCATTTGTGGGCCAGAGTCAGATTGCAAGCGCAAATGATTTTCATTTCAAAAGGTCTCCACTGCCTACAGAATGTAGCTCCAATGCCTTATTCTAGACCCTGTGTGAGCTGGAGTTTTTGAAGACCCTACTCAGTATTTTATTTTATGCATTACTCCCACACTTCGATCAAACTAGGCTCCCTTTGTCACATAGACTGGTCCTCATACTGATCCTTTATCTCACAGTCTCTCCCAGATCTATGCTGACCTCTATTTCAATACTATGATGAAAAGTGGTTTCCTCCCGAATACCAATATTTTCAACAGTTAGCATGTGCCCACCATATCTTGAGTACTATCATGTATTATTTTAATTATCTTCCCAAGAACTCTTATGTAATGAAGGTGAAACTATTTTGTCCTTTCTGAAGAGCAGGTAAGTAACTTTTCCAAGCTCACATTGGACAAAGCAGTGGAGAGTACAACCTTAGAATCCATAGCGCACGCCCTTAATGATGTGGCTACACTCTCATTGACATTTACACACCGTGCTTTGGACTGTGTTCTTTATCTTATGAGGTATTGGTTCAGATTATCTGGGTTGTAGAAAACAAAATCCAATCTTACGAGAGAATTTACTAGCTCACATTATAATTCCCTAGGAAGGTCAGATCCAGTGCTGCTTAAGTCAATAAACCAAAGGGTCATCTCCTCAAGGAATCACTCACCCATCTTTCTCTTCCAGCAGCCTGGTGCATTAAGCTAGGTAGCTTAATAGTTGCAGCAGCTCCACAGATGACATCCGTATGTGCCAATGTTCAAACACTGAACTTGAAAAGCTCTAGTTAATAGTAATTCTTTTTTTTCCACACTTCAGGTTTTCTTTGTGAAGGGCTAGCAACATATAACTCAATTCCTTCCTTAACCCTATGGAGGGCACATGATTTATCCAACATTATTACTTAACAGAACAACTAGATATGCTTATCACAATCAATCTTCCTCTTTTAGGAAGCAAAGCTATCAATCAAAATCATAAGTTTCTCTCTGCTTCTTCAAGTAGTAATTCTTATCTGCATATCATCTGTATAAACAAACGCCCCATCAGAGCTCTCTGCAGAAGTCTATTTGCCTGATTCTGAGGTTCACAGTCAGCAACCCACTTGGCTAAGAGAATTAAAACTGTATCGTCCAAATTGGTTTCATTGATTAAAAAATAAAAGGATAATACTTTGACTTCTATATTTATTTTTAATTCTCAACTTGTTCATAGTCAGGGCAAGGAGGTGCTACGCACAGAGCCCCTGTCAGGCACCCAACATCCACTTCACAGACCTCTACACACAGCTCATCGGCCACAGCTAGGCCCCATGCCCACTGGCAAGGCATAAACATTCTGATTAGCCCACAGGATGTGTACAAGCTATGGAGGAAGGGGTACAGACTAGCCACAAATATCAGGTCTCTGTCAGCAAAGAAAAGGGGTGATTTTTTCACATAAAACTGCTCGGTTGGGAAGGCAGCGTAGGTCCACTGCTCCACGCCCCGGCACAAACTGAGTCTTCCTGGTCTTGGTCTTCTTCACAGACTCAGGCACAGGTCCAGCACAGGGAAGTGATCAGTGTTTTCAGAGTCCAGCTGTGTCACCACTACAACTCTACAGATCCAGAGCAAACATGAGTAGAGAGGCTTCTACCATTCACCAGCAATTCTGGTTCCTTCTATTCCTGACACCTCATTCCTTGGACCAAACCTTCCCTAGAGAAAGCCAACACAAGAAGCGCACCAAGGAATGAGCGCATAATAATTCTCCCCTGCTTGCTAACACTAAGCTATTCAAAGACTGTAAGGTACAAATAACAAGGAGACCCGTTCGGCATTGTGGACACTCTCTTCCTGTCGCCCACTCAAGCTCCCTTCAGAAAAAAAGGAATGGCATAAATTTCATAACTGTTCAGGCTCAGCGGCTGTCAGGAAACCACTCTCAGGCCACGGCCCAAATTAAAGGCCCTCCTCCATGCTAACAATAACCTGTTTCTTGCACTGAGAGCTTTTCCTTTTCCTTCCTCCTTTGCTCAGTTTATAAATGCTGGGAGCCTAAAAATAAAATCATGGCTAAAAACACATAGCCAGAACTCCAGAAGCAATGCATTTATTTTTACATAAAACTGCTTGGCAGTATTTTTCAAAATTATTTTGTGCCAATTTTATATTTAAATGTCCCCATTTGATGCGGAAGGAAATACCACCCATATAAAAATTTTAAAGCCAGCTTTTCCTTAGACATTTATAATTCAAATTCCAGAGAAACATAAGCTGACTTAACTCAATTGTCATTTGATATTTATATATTATCTTTCCCTTAGTAAGCAAAGGACTCAGAAAAATAAGTAAATTGTAAGATAATACCACTGATTCTCAAAAACAAGATACACATATTCATATATAAATGTGCTGCATATAAAATAAGCACGTAAATGTATATATTTTGTAGTCATATACAGAGAAATAAGAAAAAAACAAAATGAAGTATTGGGCTACAAGGCAATTTAAGCAAAAACAGCACAAATGTTTAAAAAAAAAAAATGGTGGCAGGAATGCACAGCCTGACCAGCAAATTGAGAAATATGATCATACACAGCATCATCTAGCCAAATAAATGACTGCCAAGCTCAGCTGCATCTTCTAAATTCAAAACAAAGAAACGTGTTAACTTAAAACATCTGTCCCTACCATAAGACTAAAAGTAACAATGAAAAGGCGTGTGGATCATTCAGCATACAGGCATCACATGAAACCTAATCTCGGGCGGTGCTCATCTCCCTCGTGTATTTTAAGAGGACAGAATCCCAAAAGGGAAGCAGCACATTTGATTGATGACTGACAAAGACACACGAGGAGAGACTCCGACAAGGAAAAAGGCATCCTCTGCGCACCCCCAGCCAGATCTCCCCGCGTGGTACCCAGGTACAGTGGCACCCTGAGAAGGGAACACCCAGGGCCGGGGCCTGACCATGCCCTCTCTGAGGGCTTCCTCAGGCAGAAGCCCAGCTATGACCTTCAGTCTTCACAGGGACAACCCGGATTAGAACTGCTGGTGGAAAAGTCATCACTATCTTGTTCTTGATTGTATTTGTCTAGACTCAACTTGGATACTTCAAATTAAACCAAGATCGTTAACTCTAAATTTATGCTGCCACCTCATGCAGTAATGTATTATTAAAAAAATTACCACAAAATATGTACATTTTAATGAAGAATCTATATTTAATATAAAGTGGGCTTCTCCCCACTTGAAATACTCAGTATTTAAAAATAAAGATGGACCAGAGGTGTTTAAAAAGACAGTGATATCCTAGGATAATCCAATAAAAGGGGATTGGAAAATGAATCAGTATGCTTCAATGAAACTGGGAATTTAGGGAATGGACATGTGTTACTTCCCTGTCAGTGATTATTCACAGGAAGCCAAGAATTCACTCTGTAACAAAAAGTGTGGGCTATTTGAATAGTAGTCACCAAGCAAGACTCACAGCACTTCACAAAGGGGGCTTCTAAACTTTCATTCCTCTTCTCCATTCAATCTCTTTAGCCTGTTGGTAAATATGAGTACAAATGAAAATTGGAGATATTTTCATTTCTATTGGGCTCTCTTTGGTGTTACATTTTTAAGTAAAAGAAATAAGCACATAGTACACCAATTTTTAGAAACAGCTCTGCTTATTCTCCTTTATCTTTTTAGTCCTATGAAATAAGATCTACAAATCAAACCAGAGGTTCTCAACCTTTTCCACTACAATATCAACAATGGACAAGACTCCACTGAGTACACCACACTTTGACCAAACACCAAAAATCAAAAACGCAAATGAAATAGGTAAGATTAGACTGCAGGTGGTGGCTCCACTATAATGCTACCCCTGTCTTTTATTCCAGAAAACAGACTGAACAATATGGACAGAGCAGCGTGGTAAAAGATAACCTCAACACTGGCTAAACTATATGAACAAATGGTAAACAGAGACACTGCACTATAACAAATTGCTTGCTACCTTTCCCACAATTGATAAAAATTCTATAGTAAGTTTTAACCATCCTGAAACTATATTTAATACACAAGTCCTAGAGGACATTAAGAATCTGAACTCTCTGAAGTTGTCCCCTATAGTAGCCACAAGCCACAGGTGGCTAATCAAATTTCAGTGTTCCCTGAAATTAAGCAAGAGCTTAGAATTCAGTTCCTCAGTGTCCCCAGCCATGGTGTAGCTGTGCTCTGCCCCACTGGTGGCCCACGGCTACCACACAGGACCACACAGTTATCAGGTATCTCCACATCACAGTGCTGCCTAAGGCATCCTGGACAAGATCCAATCTCACTTCCTAAAAGCTCAGATTTAAAAGCAGAGGCCTGGTTTCATTCAGGTGATCTGCTCTCTACATAATAATTACAGAGCCAGGACCTAAACCAAGATGTCTGGGCCTCAGTCACTCAGTCACTTCTGCTCTGACATCTGGCTTCCCTCTCAACGATGGGGCCACTTATCCCTTACCAGATCCAGTCTGGGGACTGCTACACTTAAGTTCTCCATCTTCGCAGTGACCCTAGGAGGAAAATCATCCCCATACGCAGACGAGGAAATGGAGCCTCCTATGTAGAAGCGTCACACATGAGACCACAGAGCAGGTGTGTTGTGGTACCAGGATTCAAACTTCAGACCTAGGTGTCTCTGCTGTGGTGTAGTATACACAGTAAACACCCTACACTTTTGTTAGCCTTGAATCTTTTGCTTTCAATTTTGCAAAAAGTTGATGTTTTCCTGATTAACCCTGTCAGCGTAGGTCAGCAAAACTAGTCCAACTAGAAATATCCCACTGCCTAACTCTTTTGGTCTGAGTAAAAGGTAATTTGTTCACCTTTTTTTGCTCACAACTGCCTCTGACCACACTAGCACTGGGTAGTGTTGCTTACTAAGCACTGAGCTAAGTGCTTTGTGCCGATCTCCTCTCACCTTCACCCATTCTGTGAAGGAAATCCTTCATCTCCATGTCACAGACGAAAACAGCGAAGCGAAGGGTCAGACCATCCATTCCCAGAAAGAGGTTAATAAAGAAGGTTTGCTTGTGTGATGGGAAGCTGAAGGACAGCTCATTTCTTTTCATTTGACACAGACAGGAAAGAGCATGAGATATGTGTAAACTATGAAACAATGTATTTCCTTCCTCACACTGGCTATCCCTGCCCCAGGTAAGCCCATTAGCTACTTTCATTGGATGGAGTCCTCTAGGACAGTCACACTGCCTTCCTCAAGGGCTGCCTTGGAGACAGGCTTGGGTGTGTGAAAGTGCATGCATATCATGGAGTAAGAAACCTAGCCCAAAATAGATTATTTAGTGGTTCTCATGGTATTTCTGGTCCCTTTTGGCAATTTCTGAGCTGGCCAATAGAAAGAAGAGAATCAGAAGACAGCATTAAAGGAGGAGGGAGACAGCTGATGCCAGCACATAGCTAAGAGATGTGGCTTACAACCAAATCATCCCAGAATGCGACTCTCGGTAAGTCATACAGCTGTCAAAGTTAGAGAACACAAAACACCAAGGGAGAGAACACACGTGCGCACACACACCTGCACATGCATACACAGCACACCATATTATTTGTTAAGAAGAAGTGATCCTCTACATGCTTCCTGAATCATGTGGTGAATTTAATGCATGTGCACCAGTACAGGAGAGCCTCAGCTTAATGGGAAGGGGTTAGCCAGGGACAGCTGGCTTTTGCAGGCGGTCAGGGACAAGACTGGCAGGGACAACTGCATGGCAAGTTGGGCAGGGAGGAGGGTAGGCACATAGGACTGAAGTGAAATTAGCTAGTGGTGCTTAGAGACAACAAGCAGGCTAGCCTGGCTGTGGGAAACAGAAGAACTTTAGAGTTAGAATCAGGGTTGAATCCTCTCTTCCAGTAGCACTTCCTGAGTACGTATCTTTGAACAAGGGATTTACACATCCTGAGCCTCAGATTCCATATTTTCACAGCCAATTCCTAGGATAAATGAGAGTATCAATACTACTAGGGGCTTAATCACTGTCTTTTCCTCTTGTTCTTATTGACTGATAAAGAGGAAATGTTATAGCAAAAAACAAGCAGATGCCATGCACTGCAAGTTGGTGCCTTCCCCCCACTGTCTTCTTTATAAAATCCCATTCATGGAAGCTTTACTGGTCCCCATTTCACATCCCAGCAATAGAACTTTCCCTAGGTCACAGAGGCAGACTGCAACAGAAGTGGGTTAACTCCAACCAATCCATCAGACCACCAGAGCCAGTATCTGCAGCTTCCAAAGCAACAAGTGAGAAGACTGAAAAGGCATCAACAAGAGGAATCTTCACAAGAGAAACTGAGAGTTGGCAACTAGCACCAGGTCCCTAAATCCACACCACTTCTTGATGTGCTTTGTGGAATGTTTCTGGGTAAAACTGATGCTGCCATTTTTAAGCTGACTAACGCTCCCCTTGGGTCACTCACCTGAGAACTAAATGAATATCAAGAATGGTACATCTGAGGGCCTGCCCCTTAGCTCAGTTCTTTAAGTGGTTGCTTCAACAAAACAGTCAGGCTCAGGTTGCTGTGGTTCGATCCCCACAACTCAAGCCAGCCAAACCTGCCCTGAAGGCATTCGGGGAGGGATATCCTTCTGCCATTTTGGGGCCGGGGACATGGCTCAGTGGAATAAGCATTTCCCTGGCAAGCGCAAGGGTCTGAGTTCAATTCCCGGTTCCGCAAAAAAAAAAAAAAAAAAAAAAAGGTACATCCCTGCTCCAGTTTCCTTGTCCATAAACAGATACTCTGAACCATATGCTCTCTCAAGTCACTTCTGGCTCTAAAACAGTGAGTGTGAGGGCAAAATCATAAGGTTTGAGGACAGAGACAACAAACCACCATTCTTAGCACCATCTCTGGAGTGTAGTGCCTTGTACAATAGACATACTCTCACCCAGAGGTGTTGCATCACAAAATTCTATAGTAGGATTCTCAAACTCTGATTCAAAAGACATAAACATATGGTCATTATCCAGCACAACAATTAACTGATTTAACTTGAGTAAGAAATGCCCAACTAAATTGCAGTGACATAGATCTGAGTGTGGCTGAGGGAATTTACAACTGAAGACTGAAACCCCCCCTGGTTTATATCCTGAGTGAAATAAAGGGGCAATGAAGAAGGAAGGCTCACTTCTCTTTCTCTCAAGGAGTTTTCAACTTTGAACACCGGCTCTTGGCTTCCAACGCAGACCTCCTTTGGCCTCCTGGTTCGGACCTGCATAGGATACCACGCTGATTTCCAGGCCTTCAACTAGATCCTTTGCACCTCCAGTGTGCAGAGAGGCCTTCTGTACTTGTCCACACCTGGCTCTGGGTGGCCACTGGAAGCCAGTCTTGCTTTTTTTCTTTTTTTTTTTTTTACAAATTCTTATATAGTTGTTTATCTTGCATTAAATCTGTTTCTCTAGCAAACACTGACACACTTAGTTTCAGGGAGGTGGGTACAATGCCTTTCTTTGATATTAGGTCAGGTACAGAGAGAGAGAAAGGCAAGGAATTGCATAATTAAAACTATGTCCATAGCGCATTATCTGCCATTTCCTATTTCTTTTTGCATGCATGCCAGGCAAATGCCATACCACTGAGTTACATCCCCCAGCCTCATTTCTAAGTTTAATGTCCTTAAAATGGAAAGAGAATTTGTGTGTGTGTGTGTGGTACCAGGGATTAAACTCAGGACCTTGTGCTTGCCAGGCAGGCACTTTATTCTACTGAGTTAGCTCCCTGACCCCAGAAAGAGAATTTAAAATGGTTACAAATAAATGCAAATACTGAGTCTCTCTAGATTTCCAAGCTTTTCCTCAATCTTTTATAGCTGCTTCTCCTACACTTAATTTGATGGCAATTTTTTAGTGACTCACCTCTACAGAATCTTTTTAGAGTATTCAACAGTTTCCCTAGAAACAAGAACATTATTCTTTTTATATTCCCATTTCAGCAGTTTAATTAAACAATAAGTCAGACCTTGTCATTTCTCTTCTCTGGCGCTTCCCAAGGCTCACCCACCTCACTGAAATGACAAGCTCCAGTGTGTCCTCTACCCGCACCTCGACCTCCTCGTCCAACAGGTCACACACGTCTGCTACTTGACCTCCAGACACTTCCTCAAATGACCAAGCGAGCTCCTGCTGCAGGTTAACGCTTGCTGCGCCCCTGCTGGAATCCTCCTGCCCCAGATATCCATTGGACGAGCTCCCCAAATTACCTTTTTGAGGTGGTTTTTCAACTGTCACCATCTCAGGAAGGTGTTCCCTATCATCCTAGTTAAAAGAGCTTCCCTGGACCCCCTCAGTGAGTCTTTTCTAGTCTCCCACCACAACACTGTGTGTGTGTGTGTGTGTGTGTGTGTGTGTGCGCGCGCGTGTGTGTGTGTTTAATGGCATACCTATCTGACATTCTGCATGTTTTACTCATTAGAATTTGAGCTTCAGGAAGACAGGAATTTTTATGTTTGCCAAAACACTCCATGAGCTAGAATAACAAGTCATACTTGTCAATCAATAAATAAGCATTTGCTAAAAATCTTTTTTATTATAATAAATGTATTACCTCTTAAACTGAATTACAGAAGTACCATATTAAGTAACTCAGGCTTGAGGAGGCTTAGGAACAGAGGCAGCAGAGCCTTAGAAGGCAATGAAGTCAGTTGGAGCATTCACAAGTATACAGGTGCAGAGGAGTCCCCAATAAGTGTGAGCAGTGCCAAGGCCTAGCATCAGCAAGGGCATGGAACAGAGTAGAGCAAGGTCCTCTGTTAAAGGCAAATTCAATGAACTGTCTCACCTTTACATGTGACCAATCACTTGTGTTCATATTCCACTGCACAAGAACATGTATCAAAGTCAAGTGTAGTGAATGGTCTAGCTACTTCTGACAGACAAGGAACAGGAAGAATACAGGTTGTCTTGCACTAGTCCTCTCTTCAGCTGTCAATACCATTTAGTAAATCCTTTCTCTCTCTTCTCTCTTGTCTGTCTATCTCTGTCTCTCTGTCTCTCTTTGTCTGTCTCTCTGTCTCTGTCTGTCTCTCTCTCTCTCTCTCTCTCTCTCTCTCTCTCTCTCTCTCTCCCCCCCCCTTTCTCTCTGCCAACTGGTTCTCTACTAAAATAGGAGATGGTATAGAACACTTCATGGCCAGCTTACTTCCCTGGCCTATTACTGGTATCAGATCACTCAACAATTACAAGAATATACTGAAAAACCATGAACCACTCAATATCCTAAGTGATTCCCTTTGCATTAACATAGATGACTAGCTTCTCTCTCATACTGAGCCTCCCTCCCCAAAACTGATCATCTACCACAGGATACTTTGATTTTAAAATGATTCCTAAAATGTATTAAAGAATGAACAAAAATAAATATCTAGTTTTAAGAACATGGAAGGAAAAAAAGAGGAAAAATAGTTTTTTCCTGATTCTTTAAGAGAAAAATATCAACAAGAAACACTAGTCTAAAAAGACCACATTTAAGAATATTCCTACAAAGTTCTATACTGTTCTCTAGACTCTCGGGTAGTTCAGAAATTCTTCATCTCTTTCAATACCACAAGAATAATCCCAGATGACTTATTAATAACACATGTGTCAATAGCAGGTTGTGATGTAAATGAGCAAAATCTTTCCACCATCTCAGCTCTATTTATTAAGCCAGAATAAAAAAAGTGATGCAGAATGACTTGTCACACCATTTATTAGAGCTGATGGAGTGTAGACAGTCTTTTCAATAAGGCGTTAGCACACTGTTATGCACCATCATACATTATTAATGAAAAGAAACGCACGAGATTTGTATCAGTTTTTCCCCCAAGTCATTCTGACATTAAATTCAAAATCTATTTCCCCCTATATTGCAGAGGGTCAGGGATAAAAATGTTAATTTACCAAAACTTAAGTTTATAATTCTAAGAAACAATCAGAATCTTCCCTGTTCTACTGAACTTAGTGCTTATTTATTTATTTATTCATTTTGCAGAGGGGATCAAGAGAGAATGCAACTGCAACAGGAATATAAACAATTGTGCCCTAGTTTATATGTGACAAGAGGATGGGATCTAATTTTCTCTGAATGAAAGAACACAAAGGACATCCACAGAATGCAAATTGTGTGCTGGGTATCCGAACTTCTCTTCTTTTTTTTTTTTTTTTTCAAAGTTTTATTGACAAACAGATAGCAATGAGACAGTTTCAAATCAAATCGGAAGGACAGTTTCAACAAATAATACACTGCATATATTCTTCTTAGTGGTTAATTGCTGTACAAGATGTGGACTTGTGATCCTATTTACAAACACCATTAGAACAAATCATTCTATTTGAACTTCTCTTCTAATACCTGAGTACCCAAATGGAACTAATTCACTTTAGAAAAGGTATTAAATAATTGAGGCCGATAGTGCCAGGATGAGGGATAATCCTGAAAACTGTGAAGAAAAATAAACATATTTCACAAGGACAGGATCACCTCCCTCACTCAGTAACTTCGATCAAGCATTTTACATTTAAAAGAAATAAAAGAAATATATTAAACATGACCTACCGCCAACAACGAGTCCTGATAGACACAAGCACCTGTGGAGAAAAACAAAACACGAATTAAAAGTGATGCATAATAAACCAACAAGGCACTGGCCCAGCAGGCTCCCTGCTAACACTTCCTCCCCATGCACCAGCACCAGCAAAGTGTCTTTTCCAAAATGCTACAAAGCTTGAGTATTCTTCCCCAGGGGAAAATAACCACATACACCAAACAATATTTCCTGGACACACATGAGGGAAGGCATCATTAAAACTTACTATTTAAATTTTAAAATAAATGCATTGATAATGGCATGCTATAAATACAAAGCTTATTTTCTTTTGTAATATGTCAGGAAAATTCCATAATCTAGTCCCAATTTACAGATCCAAGCAACTCTCCTACTCACTGCTTCTAGCAGTTCTCCAGTCCAACTCAGGAGGCCAACCTGAATCCCATGATAAATTTCACATCTAAATGGATCTTACTCATTTCCTACAGAGCATGCATTTTGCCTATTCAAGGAACCTGAACTTGATCCTATCTCCTTCATGAAATGCTTCCAGGCCACAGGAGTATGCTCTTCCTCCTCTGAGCTCATAACATTTTGAGCCTTAATCATTTATCTGAGAATTCACACTTGCACTCTGCTTGGGGCATCCTTGCTAACCATGTGGAAGTGCTGCACCTACCCCACTGCGCTACAGAGATTCATTCAGGAAAGAGAAAAGTCCTCTGTGCTCCTCATGTCTTCTCACAGTAGGTAATCACTTAGGTATCTGGTCAACGCTACCTATTTCCTGCCTTTAACACAATATGTTCCCCTCTTGAGACACTAAGCCCTTTTGTTTTGTGTGTTTACATGTGTTTACTGAGGAATAAACCCAGAGCTTTCAAAACGAACTACATCCCAGCTCTTCGCTACCTTTTATTTTAAGGCAGGGTTTTGCTAAGTCCCTAAATTGCGCAGGCTGGGCTCAAAGCTATGATTGTCCTGCCTCAGCTTCCCACAGCACTGGGATTACAGGCATGTACCACCACACCTGGCTAGATAAACCATTTATTATTAAAGCAGTATAAATGGTAGTTATTTGACAACTCTTCTATTGAGCTCCTGATTTCCAACACTTTTTTCACTCCATTTTTTTCTGGTCAGCTGCTTATGAAGCAATACAGCTTTATATATCCAGTCATTAGGCACCAAATGAAAAAAAAAAAAAACAGATGATCTCTTTCTAAATGGAAAAGAAGGCTGAATTTGACTGGACAGTTTATATATTCTGAATTAAGTAGCATATCATACAGTAATTTTTTTCTTTTTTCATACAGCAAAATGTTCAAGTCTTTTATTTTATTTTTATTCTTTTTTCTGCATGTAGGACAGGGTCTACAGGGTTTCGCTACATAGATTGGACTCATAGTGATTCTCCTGTTTTCAGCCTCCCAAGCGCTGGGATTACAAGCGCACACCACCATGCCCAATCTCAATCACAGTCTCAGCACGCCCCACAGACAGGGCCTGCACCGTACACCAGGGATTGAACCCCGGCCGCTTCACTCCGCCTAATCAGGCGCTTTAATCCGCTGAGCTATCAGGCCAGCCCTTAAGTCTTATATTTTAAAACAACATAAAATTGCAATACTGGTTTTAAAAAAATACATGCCCACTCTTAACTTAAGTGCTGTTTTGATTTCACCTAGACACAAGTGTGCAGTGTGCTACCATCTCGTCTCACAATCAGAGCCACAAAGCAGGCCGAAGCTACGTGCACCCACAGACAGAAGCACATCATGACAATGGGCCACAGCTGGGTCAGAGGCAAGGACATATTTTATTTACTATAGTGCTTGCCTCCAACAGACCCTTCAGGAAGTCTCAAAAAATTAACTCTCTGGGAAAAAATGATCTACTTTCCCTGCCAATAATGGAATTAAGAACAATCTTTCCAGAAAACAACTATTTGCACGTGGATTCACCCAAAGAGCTCTGTGGGCAAATTTACTAAAATGACTTTGCTGTCCTTGACATTCAAATAAGAATAACTTATAAAGCCTCAAGGAAAAATCCTTTTTAATTGACTAATTTTTTCTTAAGAAATTTTGTTCTACACTTTCTAGTATGTCAAGAAAATAGGACAGAAATAGATAAAATCTTATATATCCCAATTATATATATACATACAACTCTCTAAATACTAAAATGGACATTTAATTAGATCTAATATTTAAAAATTATAATAAGAGTAACATCACTTAGTTGTACTTTAAGCAAATCTAGCTTTCAGACCACTAATCTTTTAATGGCCAAACCATGAAAACTTTTGTCATGTATTAGTTTTTAACTGATATAAAATTTTATGTATTTATCCACAACATGGCATTTTTCCACATATGCAATCTTCAAAATAAAGAGTTTAACGTAATATTTACCTGTCACAGTAAGACCACCCTCAGACACAGCCACGAGACCTGGCAGGCAATTTCCCTGCTGTACCAGCATCACAGAGCATGCTTCCACCAACTGACAGGCCCTGACATCACTAAGCAATGAAATCTCTAGGATCAAGGTTTTATATTTGGTTGGTTGTTGACCAAAACACCATTGTTCAGTGCACAACTAATTTTATTTCTCTTCTCCACAGGGTTACCTTGCCAAGTCAATATCTTTCCAAAGCACCCAAAGAAATCAGGCACCTGAAGAGGTAACCACATCACACCT